GAGAGAGGGAGAGAGGGAGAGAGGGAGAGAGGGAGAGAGGGAGAGAGAGAGAGAGGGAGGGAGGGAGGGAGGGAAGGAGAGAGAGAGAGAGAGCAGATACCCAATATGGAGGAAAATCTAGGAATCAAACTTTAGATAGATGGATCTTCTCACAAACGCACCCAGTTTGTAGTGGTAGGGCAAGTTGGGCACTCTCATGGCCTGTGGGTCACTCTCATCCGAAACGTTGAAGTGATAAGAGGGGGCCAAGGCAGGCAGAGTCATCGTGATTGTTCATGTGAAGACTAGAATTCGAATTTGTGGTACCCACACCAAACTTCTTCCCGTCTACCAGGCACTTCCATTCGGTCTTCCAGGCGGCTCAGGTTCACATCCTTTGCAGTAGACGCCTATTCAAGACTTCAAAGAATGCCAAGCAACTGCCAAGCACGTTTGTGGTTGTCAATCCTAACTTGAGTGCCCACCAAACCACCAAAACCCCTTGGTTAGCCATTGTCTGGGGAATGGATCATCAGACCACCCGTTCCACAGGTTCCGTCCGCACTCTCCAGGGCCTTCCAGGAACTCTTCGAAGTTGATCTGCCGTGGAAAAACGGTAGGTGATGCACCCAGACCAAACTGGAAACGTTCCCAGTAGTCCTCTTCTCAACCGACAGAACAGCTCAGGTCTGGGCCTACACCAGTCTCCATCCCTATAATATGATGAATAATGGGGAGTTCCCCTCATCCAGCCAGCCCAAAACGCCTTGCCGTTGCCATCGATGTCTATGACCTCCCAAGCAAGTTCTTTCTCCAGGTCATGAAATTGTATGGAAGCAAACAAGTACAGTGTGTACATATATATATGATATAAGGAACTTCCAGGCAAAAATCTCACAGAGCCAAGTCCATGACCTCCAAGAGGCCCTTGGCATCAGAGGGGTCTACATCGATGGTCTCAAAGAACTCTTGCCTTGGACCCGATTATGGACCGAGCATCTCTCCATCCAGGTGTGGGGAGTGGACAAAATCCGAATGAATTGAAGTCTTTAGAGTTTAAGAAGTTCACACGATAGCTTTGCCTCGTTGGCTTCAATCTGCTCACCAATGCTTCCAGTAGCCAAGTGAACCGATTAGCGCAAAACTTTGAGACAACCAAAATCTGTGGCAGCGAGCGTGGCCGAAGCAGTTCAGGTTATATAAGGAAAAACCTTGTTAGGTATGAGTGTCGAAGAGTGTAGACTTTGGAGTGTTGGGTTCACACTTAGAATGTTCTTGTCTATTGAAAGAATGATGGTCCATTCGAACTGGTTTCATTGTTACTAACCTTCCCCACCTGTTCATGAAGAAGTCATAAGTTTCCCAAGACAAAAAGGAACTATATAGTACACCGGCATAGACCCCAGATAGCAACTAACTCTAACGGAAGAACGGAAGCACATCTTTTCCTCTTAGCCCATCAAGCCCATGAGACAAGTGGGGAGACATGTAAGGAGACAAGTGGGGAGAAAGTTTCCCAACAAGTCATCTAAATCTCAACAAATACCCAAAGACCTTCCGAGAAAAAAAAAAAAGGAAGTCACAAACACATGAAGAAAAAGGACTGCCTCCATTACCCCAGGCTACACCGCTGGGGTGGAAGTCTGACCCAAGATCTCGTCGGGGCTGATAAAGCCAGACCCATCAATGTCGATCTCTCGGAAGAGCCGCCGGGCCTCTTGCCAGACGTTCAGTAGTTGGACATGAAGAATCAGAGACTGCGGAATTGTTCGAGTGGCTGAAGCAGGGCATTGTGAATTTGAAGTGATCTTGTTGGCTAAACAGGAATCCAAAAAACGAACTTGTGAGGTCTTTGGATCACTCTCAGGATAGCTCAAGCTCAGGCATCTTCAGAGATCACACGATCGGTCACCCACACCTGATAGATTCGATTTCTCAGCTGGAGCTCCTTGGCCTGTTGACTCATGGTCTCCACAAAGGTTCCTCAACGGTCACAAAAGCTGGACTGTTGGAAGAGGTCAAAGTGATTCAAAGTTGCTAAATGTCCATAAACCTCCTAGACGTGCATTTGACATGCATCTATGTTTAGTCCAGCCAACGATCTGTCCAAAGAACACACAGCGTCTGCAGGTGCAAATGGATAAACAGGAGCAGAAATATCCTGCTGTGGACAGATGGAACAGTGGCATGAACACACCATTTGACAGTTGGTATGATCTTTCCCAACACAAAGCATACTCGGTAGCAGCTACGACGTGTGTGATCACACACTTTCATCCAAC